CATATACAAATACAATAACAAATTATTGGGCCACCAATAATAATCCCATATATCTCAAGTTAAAATCACAATCCAGAGTTCGTTGTCCATATTTCCTGTCCATAGTCACCAAGATTCGATTTAATTGCCACAGATTAGCCGAATGCTTGTTTGAATAACCATGTTTTGAGTCTCTTCCTAAACACCATCAGCGACGAGGCTGATCGTACCTCTATAGGGAGGGCGTTCCAAAGCCGAGGGGCCACCACAGAGAAGGCCCTATCTCTCGTTCCCGCCAGCCGCACTTCTGAAGCGGAGGGATAGAGAGCAGGGACTCTCCAGAAGATCTTAGGGTCCTGGTGGGCTGATAGGCTGAGATACGTGCGGATAGATAAGTTGGGCCAGAACCGTTTAGGGCTTTAAAGGCCAACGCCAGCACTTTGAATTGAGCCCGGTAGCATATCGGCAGCCAGTGGAGCTGGTTCAGCAAGGGAGTTGTGTGCTCCCTGCGATCAGCTCCTGTTAAAAACATGGCTGCCGCCCGTTGGACTAACTGGAGCTTCCGGACTGTCTTCAAAGGCAACCCCACGTAGAGAGCGTTGCAGTAATCAAGGCGGGATGTAACCAGAGCGTGGACTACCGTGGCTAAGTCGGGCTTCCCAAGGTACGGTCGCAGTTGGCACAAGTTTTAACTGTGCGAAGGCTCCCCTGGTCACCGCCGAAACCTGGGGTTCCAGGCTCAGCGATGAGTCCAGGATCACCCCCAAGCTGCGAACCTGTGTCTTCAGGGGGAGTGCGACCCCATCCAACACAGGCTGTAATCCAATACCCTGTTCGGCCTTGCGACTAACCAGGAGTACCTCTGTCTTGTCTGGATTCAATTTCAATTTGTTCGCCCCCATCCAGACCGTCACAGCGGCCAAGCACCGGTTCAGGACCTCGACAGCCTCCTTAGTAGCAGGTGGAAAGGAGTGACAGAGTTGGACATCATCTGCGTACAGATGACATCGCACTCCGAAACTCCGGATGATCTCGCCCAGCGGCTTCATGTAGATGTTAAACAACATGGGAGACAGTATTGAACCCTGAGGAACCCCACAAGACAAAGGTTGTGGGGTTGAACAGGAGTCTCCCAGTAACACCTTCTGAGACCGACCCTCGAGGAATGAGCGGAGCCACTGCAAAACAGTACCTCCAAGACCCATCCCCGCGAGGCGTCCCAGAAGGATACCGTGGTCGACGGTATCGAAGGCCGCTGAGAGGTCGAGCAGCACCAACAGGGACACACTCCCCCTGTCGAGCTCCCGACGCAGATCATCCACTAAGGCGACCAAGGCTGTCTCGGTACCATGCCCCGGCCTAAAGCCAGACTGTGCCGGATCTAGATATGAGTTTGTAAATGTTCCTTCTGCACAAGGTTTGCGCAATCACTGCTGGGAGAAAAGCGGCAATGACGCAATCCATAAATGTTTGTATTTTTTAAATTGTGTGGTCGTATTTTTAATGTAAGCTGTTTTGAGACAAGTATCCCGAGCTCTGAGGATGATTACATGGGAAGGAATCCCACTGACCAGCCACGACCAGAAGGGACAGAGAGCTTCATCTATGCTGACGATCATGCCATTACCGCTCAAGCAGGGAGCTTTGAGATGGTTGAACAGAAGCTCTCCGAAGCTCTTGGTGCCCTTACTGCCTTTTACAGGGAAAACCAACTGATCCCTAATCCATCTAAAACACAGACATGTGCCTTTCATCTCAAGAATAGACAAGCATCCCGAGCTCTGAGGATTATTACCTGGGAAGGAAGGAATCCCATGGGAGCATGGCAGCACACCCAAATACCTGGGAGTCACTCTGGACCGTGCTCTGACCTACAAGAAGCATTGCCTGAACATCAAGCAAAAAGTGGGTGCTAGAAACAGTATCATACAAAAGCTGACTGGCACAACCTGGGGATCACAACCAGACACAGTGAAGACATCTGCCCTTGGCTGTGCTACTCTGCTGCTGAGTATGCATGCCCAGTGTGGAACACATCTCACCACACTAAAACAGTGGATGTGGCTCTTAATGAGACATGCCGCATTATCACGGGGTGTCTGCGCCCTACACCACTGGAGAAATTACAATGCTTAGCCGGTATTGCACCACCTGACATCCGCCGGGAAGTGGCAGCCAATAGTGAAAGGACCAAGGCAGAGACATCTCCAGCTCATCCCCTGTTTGGGTATCAGCCAGCACGTCAATGACTTAAATCTAGACATAGTTTTCTAAGATCTACAGAGACACTCGCTGGAACACCTCAGCAAGCGAGAGTCCAAAAGTGGCAGGCTCAAACCCAGAATGGCTGATACCAAATGAGAGACTCCCCCCTGGGCACACAGAAGACTGGGTGACTTGGAAGGCGCTGAACAGACTGCGCTCAGGCCCCACAAGATGCAGAGCCAACCTCCAGAAATGGGGCCACAAAGTGGAATCCACAACATGCGAGTGCGGAGAAGAGCAAACCACTGACCGCCTGCTGCAATGCAACCTGAGCCCTTCTTCCACATAATGCACGATGGAGGACCTTCTTGCGGCAACACCAGAGGCACTCCAAGGGGACAGAGACTGGTCAAAGGACATCTAATCAACTACCAAGCGTGCAAACTTTGTGTTTAGTCTGTTTGTTAAAAAATTGTTTAAAATGTAATACAATTGTCTGGTTGATACTGACATGATAAATAAATGTTTTGAGTCACCTTTGGGAGAGGTAAAGCATATAAATAAACAACAACAACAACGCTATGTAACATGGTGTTCGTTCCTTGGTTATAAACGTCATTCCCTAATTGGTTCCATCATCAAAACAATGGGAAAGTTTATTAAAATGCAAAAACTTTTTTTTCATGGGAGGGACATCATCCCGCTGAAGCACATTTGGATGTAATTTTCTACTGAATATCTCATCAAATCTTAACCAATTTAACGTAGTGGCAGCCACAAAGTTTCTGGGGAAGAACAATTACTTTCAAAGCAAAGGCTGCACAATTAAACAGGAAACAACACTTTCAAACCAGGAACACAACGTTGTTCAAATTTTGTAATGCATCGTAGACCTCACTACCTCTGCTTGCCATAGATGCAGGTGAAACGTCAGGAGAGAATGCCTCTAGTACAGGGCCATATAGCCCGAAAAACCTACAACACCCAATGCATCGCAGTGTTCATTTTGAAACCCCTCATCCACAGAATCCTCTTGAAAGGCTACAGCATGGAGTTACACTTAAGAAATGTCCCTGTTCTGACTTACATACAAATCTAACTTAAGAACAAACCTACAGAACTGATCTTGTTCATAACTTGGGAGGGGATGCCTGTAAAGTAAAGGTAAATGTTACCCCTGACATTAAGTCCAGTCGTGTCCAACTCTGGGACTCTGGTGCTCATCTCCATTTCTAAACTGAAGTGCTGGCGTTGCCCGTAGACATCTCCAAAGTCATGTGGCCGGCATGACTGCATGGAGCACTGTAATTCGTTAAATGGACGAACCCAGAGGATGCTCACCAATGCTTCCTCTTCATCTTGGAAAGAAGTGACAAGTGGAGTGCCGCAGGGTTCCGTCCTGGGCCCGGTCCTGTTCAGGATCTTTATTAATGACTTAGATGAAGGGCTAGAAGGCAGGATCATCAAGTTTGCAGATGACACCAAATTGGAGGGAGAGCCAAGACTCCAGAGGACAGGAGCAGGATTCAAAACGATCTTCACAGATTAGAGAGATGAATGGCCAAAACTAACAAAATGAAGTTCAACAGGGACAAATGCAAGATACTCCACTTTGGCAGAAAAAATGAAATGCAAAGATACAGAATGGGGATGCCTGGCTCGAGAGCAGTACGTGTGAAAAAGATCTTGGAGTCCTCGTGGACAACAAGTTAAACATGAGCCAACAATGGGATGTGGCGGCAAAAAAAGCCAATGGGATTTTGGCCTGCATCAATAGGAGCATAGTGTCTAGATCCAAGGAAGTCATGCTACCCCTCTATTCTGCTTTGGTTAGACCACACCTGGAATATTGTGTCCAATTCTGGGCACCACAATTCAAGAGAGATATTGACAAGCTGGAATGTGTCCAGAGGAGGGCGACTAAAATGATCAAGGGATCTGGAGAACAAGCCCTATGAGGAGCGGCTTAGGGAACTGGGCATGTTTAGCCTGAAGAAGAGAAGGCTGAGAGGAGACATGATAGCCATGTATAAATATGCGAGAGGAAGCCACAGGGAGGAGGAGGGAGCAAGCTTGTTTTCTGCTTCCCTGGAGAGAGACTAGGACGCAATGGAACAATGGCTTCAAACTACAAGAGAGGAGATTCCATCTGAACATGAGGAAGAACTTCCTGACTGTGAGAGCCGTTCAGCAGTGGAACTCTCTGCCCTGGAGTGTGGTGGAGGCTCCTTCTTTGGAAGCTTTTAAACAGAGGCTGGATGGCCATCTGTCAGGGTTGATTTGAATGCAATATTCCTGCTTCTTGGCAGAATGGGGTTGGACTGGATGATGGCCCAGGAGGTCTCTTCCAACTCTTGGTTATGATTCTATGATTCTATTGATCTACTCACTTTGCATGTTTTCAAACTGCTAGTTGGCAGAAGCTGGGCCTAACAGTGGGAGCTCACCCCACTCCCCGGATTCAAACCACCAACCTTTTAGTCAGCAAGTCTGATAGCTCAATGGTTCAACCCGCTGCACCACAGGCTGTCTGTACACATTGTTAAAATCCAAGTTAGAATCCACTGATGAAATGCAGTTTAATATTTACAGTTGTGTTGGGACTCAGCCTGTGCTTGAACCTGTGACTGTGTTTCAGTCTCCTGATGTTTCTGTGTCTGATATGGGTAATGAGGAGGGAAATCAGTCCCCTGTTGCTTCTGATGTGGGGGATGCTGGGACTGACTCTGAGGTGCAAGATGGAGACACGTTGGTCAATGAGTTTCATGCAGACACTGACAGAGAGGCTTCGGTGCAAAGGGCAGATTCTCATGAGAATGTTCCTGTCAGGTCTTGGGAGGAAGGTTCACTCCCTCCGCCTGTGAGATCTCCAGATTCTAGTTTGGAAAACAGTCTGACACCTGGTAAAGTTAACGAGGAATCAGATAAGCAGAGTCGGCGGCTGGAGATTAGCCAGAATCGACAAGAGCCCCAATGTTTACGTAGATCTGAAAGAATTTGTCAGTTAAGGTCAAGGACTGGAGGAAAACGAAACCAGTTTTTGGGATTTAAGGTTTGCCTTTAGGGAATCATGTCAGATCAGGCATCGTTTGGAAACCAAGTACAAGCCTCATGGAATCCTGTTCAAGTGGTCTCGTTTTCATGGATTTTTCTAGCCTTTCAAGGTGACGAGCAGCGTCTGGTCTGTTCTTCTTGTCTGGACAATCACTGCTTTGGAATATATTTTCATGCTTTTTGGACATTGTTTTTATTGCTACATTTGGACATTGTTTTTATCTTCCTGCCTTTGGATGCCTTATTGCTTTTTAGAATCTTATCTATCTTTACAAGCATTTATTTCTACTGGCTTTTTTTTTTTTGCTAAGCTTTAATAAAAAGGATTGTTCCTTCACTCAACGTGTGGTGTGTTTATAGTCGGAGAGGCTATTTCCTGTTCTGGAGTGCAACAAGTTGAGTGGTTGGGCCTCATGCCAGAAGAGAGGGGTCTTCAATTGTCCCTCAAATCCTCTTCTTCTCCTTTTCTGCAGGTTCCTGGGCGAAGCCCATGTGTCGTTGAGGGATGTCCTAGCCTCGCCCAATTTGGCTGCCAGCTTCAATGCTCCTCTGCTGGACACCAGGAAGCAAAGCACCGGGGTGAGTCCACCTATTGCATCTATTACAGGCATGGACCAACTTGGGCTCTCCCTCCAGGTGTTTTGGACTCCAACTCCCACCATTCTTAACAGCCTATTGGCTGTTAGGAATGGTGGGAGTTGAAGTCCAAAACACTCGGAGAGCCCAAGTTCGTTGTATGATGTCCAATGACAACCAAGTTATTCTGTTCTATTTTCTTGTTCTCTATCTACTGACCTACATACTTTCCTATCCAGTTCTTTCTCTGCCTTATTCTATCATCTACTTATTGATCCATCCTGCCCTTGGTTCACTTTATTTTATTATTTATTTATTTGCAGCTTTTCTATTCGGCCCTTCTCCTCACCCCGCAGGGGACTCAGGGTGGATTACAGTGTACACATATATGGCAAACATTCAATGCCAATTTTAACATACAACATATACGGACATAGACAGAGGCTATTTAACTTTTTCTGTCCGCCAGGGGAGCTGTCGCTTTCATCGTCCATCTGTGACGCTGATGAAGCACTTCGGCATTCCCCGCATGCTTTTTGCTGGAGTGCTTGCTGGAGTCTTTTTTAAATGGCCTCATAAATTAGTTAATTTAACCTCCCCACACTTTAAGGTGGTACCTTATTTTCCTACTTGACAGATGCAACTGTCTTTCGGGTTGCAAAGGTCGACAACAGGCTACACACAATTGGTTGGAAACCCACTCCAACCCGGGCTGGCTTCGAACTCATGACCTTTTGGTCAGAGTGATCTTAATGCAGCTGACACTCAGCCAGCTGCACCACAATCCCGGTGTTTTTTTAAAAATTATTATTATTATTATTATTATTATTTATTATTATTAAAGCCTTCAATAATAATAATAATAATAATAATAATAATAATACTACCTTTAATTTAGAAGGGGCCTGGCCTTGGTTCCTTTTGAATTCTTTGTTGCTTGGAGACACCCTTAGCCTGGGTGGTGTTCACTGGCCCTTGATTCTTGCTGCCTGGAGGCCTCCTGTGTCCTGGTGGTGTTCCCTAGTCACTGTCCTGATTCTAGTGTTTTTCAATAGTGATAGCCAAATTGTGTTCATATTTATTTATGTATTTATTTATCATTCGAACTTCTATGCGGCCACTCCCCTGGGGCTCGGAGAGGCTTACAAGAATGGCTAAAATCTAACACAATTTAAAAACAATTTAAAACAATTTAAAAACAGCAATATCAGAGATCAAAGGCCTGTCGAAACAGGTATGTCTTCCATGCCCTGTGGAAAGCTGGTAAGTCCCGCAAGGCACGGATTTCAGGTGGCAGAGGATTCCAGAGTGATGGTGCCACTGCTGTGAAGGCTCTGCGCCTGGTTGCTGTTAGGCGCAAGGTCTTGACACTGGGGACTTCCAATAGATCTTGGTCCTCAGAACGGAGGGATCTCTGTGGTTACTAGGGGGTGAGGCGGTCCCTCAGGTACATCAGCCCCAGACCATGCAAGGCCTTCAAGGTGAGTCCCATCCCTTTGAAAGTGATCCGGTGCTCAATGGGTAACCAATGCAGCTGCAGTCAGATTGGGGTGATGTGGCATCTCATCGGAATTCCCACAAAAAGCCGAGCAGCTGCATTTTGTACCAACTTGAGCTTCTGGATCAGCGACAGAGGAAGGCCAATGTAGAGGGCGTTACAGTAGTCCAGCCCTAGAGATGACCGTGGTCTGGATCACCGTAGCCAGGTCGTCCCTGGACAGGGAGGGGGCCAGCCGTCTAGCCTGCAGCAGGTGAAAGAAAGAAGGCGGTTCTGCTCACGGCGGAGAGAGACCAGGGCCTCCATCCTCAGCAGAGGGTCCCAAAGGACTCCCAGACTCTTGACCAACGAGTACGGGCGTAGTGCCTCGCCATCCAGGGTAGGCAGCTGGATGTCCCCACTGCCTGGTCGACCCAGCCATAGGATCTCCGTCTTTGCCGGATTCACCCTCAACCTGCTGGCACACAGCCATCCAGTCACGGCCTCAATGAGGCACTGATGGAAGGAATCGGGGACAGAGTCCGGCTGGCCTTCCATCTTCAGCACAAGCAGAGTGCCATCCGCGTACTGGTCACACTCCAGCCCAAAACCTCGAACCAGCTGAGCAAGTGGTCACGTATAGATGTTAAACACGAGAGGGGAGAGAATGGCCCCCTGAGGAGGAACCCCACAAGAGAGAGAGAGAGAGGGGACCTCTCAGAGACCAGGCCTCCCCTCTCCACTCACTGTCCACGGTTGTGAAAAAAGGAGGGGAGCCAGTCTAAAGCTCTCCCCCTGACTCCAACAACAGCAAGGCGGTGGGTCAAAAGACTGTAATCGACTGTGTCCAATGCTGCTGTGAGATCCAATAGCACAAGCAGTGCTGACCCGCTCTAGTCAAGCTGGCATCGAAGGTGATCCGTGATGGAGACCAGCACAGTCTCTGTCCTGTGCCCCGGTTTCCTCCGATCTGTTGAGATTTTCCACGTGCTTGTGGATTTTCACCAGCTTCTCTGTGTCAGTCTGACATAGTAGTTGTCAGAGTGGTCCAGCATTTCTGTGTTCTCAAATAATAATATTCTGTGCCCAGCTTAGCTTATCATGTGTTCTGCTATGGCTGACTTCTCTGGTTGAGTGAGTCTGCAGTGCCTTTCGTCTTCTTTGATTCATGCCTGGGCAATGCTGCTACGTTTGAGGGTCCCTATGGAGACCTCAAGTTTGTAGACAGGACCAAATAGGAAGGGAGAGGCAATACCCAGAAGACAGGAGCAGAATTCAAAAGGATCTTCTCAGATGAGAGAGGTCATTGGCCAAAACTAACACAAGGAAGTCCAACAGGGAGAAAGGCAAGAGACTCCACTTGGGCAGGAAAAATGAAAAGCATATAGAGACAGAATGGGGGATGATGATGCCTGGCTCGAGAGGAGGATGTGTGGAAAAGATCTTGGAGTCCTTGTGAGGAGGAACATGAGCCAGGAATGGGATTTTAGCCTGCATAGATAGGAGCCTAGTGTCAAGACCCAGGGAAGTCCTGCTCCCCATGCTCTATTCTATTCTGCCTTGGTCAGGCCATATTACCTGGAATCCTATTGTGTCCAATTCCGGGCACCACCACTGAAGGGAGAGGCTGACTCTCAGCTGGAATGTGTTAAGAGGAGGGCGACTCAAAGGATCAAGGGTCTGGAGAACAAGCCCTATGAGGAGCAGCTTGAAGAGCTGGGCATGTTTAGCCTGAAGAAGAGAAGGCAGAGAGGAGACAGGATGAGGGCCAGGGATCAAGAGGTGAGACTGGGAAAGTTCTAGGGAGGAGGAGGGGGCAGGCTTCCTTCCTGCTGCCCCGGAGAGAGACTAGGGCACAATGAAACAATGGCCTCAAATGACAGGAAAGGAAGGAGATTCCACCTGAACATGAGGAAGAACCTCCTGACTATGAAAGAGAGCTGTTCAGCACTGGAACTCTCTGCCCCAGAGGGAGTGTGGTGGAGGCTCCTTCTTTGGAGGCTTTTAAACAGAGGCTGGATGGCCATCTGTTGGGGATGCTTTGAAAGTGATTTTCCTGCTTCTTGGAGGAATGGGGTTGGACTGGATGACCCACCAGGTCTCTTCCAACTCTAGGATTCTGTGTTTCTTGTCCACAGCTGCATGGTATGCGATAGACTCTTGCAGTGGTGAGAGCATCCCTCTTGTCCTATGCTGAACGGAGCATTTGTTGAATCTTCTTTGTGGTTCTGTTTCTTTTGGGGAGAAAAGGGTGGTCAGCCTCTTCTCTTTTCTTGGTGTTGCAGTCCTTCCTTTTTAGAAAAGAATCGCTTCGGTTGCCCTTTGGGCCGCTTCTCTCAGGAGCAAAAGGGAAGTCGGTCTTGGTGCGTAAACCGGCGGGGAGGATGTTTACCTGGGAGGGATTTCCTGCCCGCCTCTCTTGGGACTCATTCATTTGGGGCACCAGTTCCTTTCTCGCCTGGCTTTGATCCACAGAGACCCTCCCCTCCTGCCGGGCAAAGCGTCCGAATCCACAGGGTTTTGCTCCATTAAAATGGGAAATACTGGTCCCTGCATCCCACACATGTTTCCCTTCCTAAAGTCTTTTGTGTTTGACATCCAGTAGCCTCAATGGCTCTCACAGTCAGGAAGTTCTTCCTCGTGTTCAGATGGAATCTCCTCTCTTGAAGTTTGAAGCCATGGCTCCATTGCGTCCTAGTCTCCAGGGAAGCAGAACACAAGCTTGCTCCCTCCTCCTCCTCCCTGTGGCTTCCTCTCACATATTTATCCATGGCCCTCATCATATCTCCTCTCAGCCTTCTCTTCTTCAGGCTAAACATGCCCAGCTCCTCTAGCCGCTCCTCATAGGGCTTGCTCTCCAGACCCTTGATCATTTTAGTCGCCCTCCTCTGGACACATTCCAGCTTGTCAATATCTCTCTTGAATTGGGGTGCCCAGAATTGGACACAATATTCCAGATGTGGTCTAACCAAGGCGGAATAGAGCACGGGGAGCATGACTTCCCTGGACCTAGACACTATGCTCCTATTGATGCAGGCCAAAATCCCATTGGCTTTTTTTGCCGCCACATCACATTCCTGGCTCATGTTTAACTTTTTGTCCACGAGGACTCCAAGATCTTTTTCACACGTACTGCTCTCGAGCCAGGCATCCCCCATTCTGTCTCTTTGCATTTCGTTTTTCCTGCCAAAGTGGAGTATCTTGCATTTGTCCCTGTTGAACTTCATTTTGTTCGTTTTGGCCCATTATCTCTCTAATCTGTCAAGATCGTTTCCCTATTTTTTTTATGATAGAACCAATAAGGAAATGATATTTATAACCCAGGAACAAAAGTTGTGTTACATAGTATTGTCAGAAATGTTGAGGTACTGTTTCTCTCCTGACTCCTTCCTTCGGTTAGTGGATTGAGTAGCTGAGAGCTGCCACTTAGTGGTCACTCATTGAGTTGCACCTTGAATCAGCTTGGATCATCGAATCCTAGAGTTGGAAGAGACCTGGTGGGCCATCCAGTCCAACCCTATTCTGCCAAGAAGCAGGACAATCACCTTCAACAGATGGCTATCCAGCTTCTGCTTTAAAGCCTCCAAAGAAGGAGCCTCCATCACACTTTGGGGCAGAGAGTTCCACTGCTGAACGGCTCTCACAGTCAGGAAGTTCTTCCTCATGTTCAGATAGAATCTCCTTTCTTGTAGTTTGAAGCCATGGCTCCATTGCGTCCTGGTCTCCAGGGAAGTGGAAAACAATCTTGCTCCCTCCTCCCTAGGACTTCCCCTCACATATTTATCCATGGCCCTCATCCTGTCTGCTCTCAGCCTTCTCTTTTTTTCTCATGTTGTTGTTGTTCATTCGTTCAGTCATCTCCGACTCTTGGTGACCTCATGGACCAGCCCAGGCCAGAGCTCCCTGTCGGCCGTCACCACCCCCTGCTCCTTCAAGGTCAGTCCAGTCCCTTCAAGGATGCCATCCATCCATCTTGCCCTTGGTCGGCCCCTCTTCCTTTTGCCTTCCCCTTTCTCCAGCATCATTGTCTTCTTTTTCTCATAGAATCAAAGAATCCCAGAGCTGGAACAGATCCCAGGGCCATCTGTCAGGGGTGCTTTGAACATGATTTTCCTGCTTCTTGGCTTGGGTTATGCCTTCTTGGCCATGCAGGAAGGCATAACCCAAGCCCTCCGGACAGAGGCCGTCCAGCCTCTGCTTGAAGGCCTCCAGATAAGGAGATCCCATCTCACTTGGAGGAGGCCTACTCCATTGGACTTCTATTGATGCAGCCTAGAATTGCGTTGGCTTTATCAGCTGCTGCATCACACCATGGGCTCATGCTCTAACAAGACCTATTGGTAGATCCCTTTCACGTGGAAGGTTTTTTCAAGCCAGGTGTCACCTGTCCATACTGGATATTCCTTCCTTCCCTCTTGACTGCATCCTAGAATGGCATTTCCCTTCTCCGTCAAAGTAGTTCTTTGAAAAGGTGCATCACCACTGAACCTTGATACAGGACCCTCTAATAATAATAATAATAATAATAATAATAATAATAATACTTTATTTGTACTCCACCACCATCTCCCCAAGGGGACTCGGGGCGGCTTACATGAGGCCAAGCCCAACAATGCAATACATCAATATACAACAAAACACAACATAAATATCCTGATGCAGTTCTAAGAGGGATGGTCCATGGATGATGGGACTTGCAGTATCTTTACACACTTACTGAGACCACTGCGATCCTCATCCATGACAGAGCCCCCATAACCCACTCTACATCCTGCTGCAGTTTGGAGGAGGGTGGACCATGGATGATGGGACTTGCAGTACCTTGACTCACCTTCTGAGACCACTGCGACCCAATGACTGATCAAGACCAAACTTAACAAACAGAGCCCCCATGATCCATTCTACAACCTGGTGCAGATTCGAGGAGGACGGGCCATCGATGATGGGACTTGAAGTATCTCCACTCATGTCCTGAGACAGCTACGACCCTCATCCAATGACTGAACAAGACCAAACTTGGGACACAGAACCCTCATGACCCATTCTACATCCTGGTGCAGTTTGGAGGATGATGGATCACGGATGATGGGACTTGAAGTACCTTCGCTCACATCCCAGACCGCTGTGACCCTCATCCAGTGACTGATGAAGACCAAACTTGGCACCAAAAGCCCCCATGACCCACTCTACATCCAGCTGCTGTTTGGAGGAGGATGCACCATGCACGATGGGATTCGAAGTACCTTCACTAACTGTTAACTGATAAAGAACACCTTTGCCACACAATGCCTTTCCCAAATAATCTCAGGACTCAGGACTAAAGACCGCAGGCAAAAAAAGATCTGCAGAAACAAGCAGCTGCACATCTTATTGGCGGCTTATGCACAGTCTGTTTAGCACCTTCCAAGTCGCCCGTCTTCTGTGTGTCCAGGGGGGAGTCTCTCATTTGGTTCTAGCCTGCCACTTTTGGACTCTTGCTTGCCTAGGCGTTCCTACGAGAACCTCTCTCAATCTATGGAAGCTATTTCTTGATTTAAGGCATTGTTAAAGCTTTGTTCCACAACCAGGTTTTCACTAGCTTCCTAAAGGTCAGGAGGGAGGGGGCAGATCTAATTTCATTTGGGAGGGAATTCCATAGCCGAGGGGCCACCACAGAAAAGGCCCTGTCTCTCGTTCCCACCAGACGCACCTGCGAAGATGGCGGGACCAAGAGTAGGGCCTCTCCAGACGATCTTAACACTCTTGATGGTTCATAGGGGAGAGTACTTCCCGGCGGATGGTACAATACCGACTACACGGTATGATTTCGCCAGTGGTGTTGAGCGTAGACACCTTGTGATCACGCGCCATGTTTCATTAAGAGCCACGTCTACTGTTTTAATGTGGTGACAGATGCTTCCATCACGTCCCATCCATGAAGGGAATGCATCCTTCCGGCTTCTAAGGCGTCCTTCCTCCTTCCTCTTCCTCTTCCTCCAGGCCTTCCTGGTGCTGCAGGTCTCCTACATCCCTCCACCTGGGGCGGCCCCCCTGTTTCCTCCTCCCACTCCGCCGGAGCCCAGTCCGAGCGCACCCGCCGAACTGGACACCATGACAGGTGAGTCCCATCCTCCCTTCACCTTTGCCTTCTTGGCTCCTAGATTCGCTCATGGAGTCACCATGGGTCCTTTAGAAAGACCTGAGTGATTGGTGGGAACTTGGCTTAGAGAGTGTTCTTGCAGGCATGTGCCAACTTTGGCCCTCCCTCCAGGTCTTTTGGACTCCAACTCCCACAATTCCTAACAGCCTACCGGCACTTCCAATTTCCTATTCCTGGATTGCAACTCCCAGCAATCCTCCAGATAGATAAATTAGATAGAGATAGGTAGGTGGGTAGATCGATCAGGAGGACTGCTGGGCGTTGCAGTGCAAGAACAGGTAGAGAAGAAAGAAAGAGGAAGGGAAAGAAAGGGGGGGGGGGAGGAAGGGAAGAAGAAGAAAAGGAAAAGAGATGAGAAGGAAAGAAAAACAGAAAGGAAGGAGGGAAAGAGGGAGGGAAGGAAGAAAGGAGAGAAAGCAAAAGGGAAAGAAAAGAGAAGAAGGAAGAAAAGAGAAAGAGAAGGAGGGAAGGAGAGAAGGAAAGAAAAAAGGGAAGGAGAGAAAGAGAAGGAAGGAAGGAAGGAAGGAAGGAAGGAAGAAAGGAAGGAAGGAGAGAAAGCAAAAGGGAAAGAAAAGGCAGGCAGGAAGGAAGGAAGGAAGGAAGGAAGGAAGGAAGGAAGGAAGGAAGGAAGGAAGGAAAGCAAAAGGGAAAGAAAAGGCAGGAAGGAAGGGAAGAGAAAGAGAAGGAAGGAAGGAGAGAAGAAAAAAGGGAAGGAAGGAGAGAAAGAGAAGGAAGGAAGGAAGGAAGGAAGGAAGGAGGGAAGGAAGGAAGGAAGGAGAGAAAGCAAAAGGGAAAGAAAAGGGAGGAAGGAAGGAAGGAGAGAAGGAAAGAAAAAAGGGAAGGAAGGAGAGAAAGAGAGGGAAGGAAGGAAGGAAGGAAGGAGAGAAAGCAAAAGGGAAAGAAAAGGGGGGAAGGAAGGGAATAGAAAGAGAAGCAGAGAAGGAAAGAAAAAAGGGAAGGAAGGAGAGAAAGAGAAGGAAGGAAGGAGAGAAGAGAGGGAGGGAAAGAAAAGGGAAGAAGGGAAGAGAAAGAGAAAGAAGGAAGGAGGAGAGAAAGCAAAAGGGAAAGGAAAGAGAAGAAGGAAGGGAATAGAAAGAGAAGCAGAGAAGGAAAGAAAAAAGGGAATTAAGGAGAGAAAAGAGAAGGAAGGAAGGAGAGAAGGAAAGAAAAAAGGGAAGGAGAGAAAGAGGGAGGGAAGGAAGAAAGAAGAGAAAGCAAAAGGGAAAGAAAAGGGGGGAAGAAGAAGGAAGGAGGGAAGGAAGGAAGGAAGGAGGGAAGGAAGGAAGGAAGGAAGGAAGGAAGGAAGGAAGGAAGGAGAGAGAAAGAAAGAAAGGGATGAAAGGGAAGGAAGGAGAGAAAGAAAGGAGGAGAGAAAGAGGGAAGTAAGGTTGGCCACAGCAACGCATGGCAGGTACAGCTAGCAGGCAAAGGAGGTTCCAGAAACAACTCCCAGTGGATGGACACCCAGGTTCTGCTGCACCAAGCCAAAGCCAAGCTAAAATGTGATAGTGAGTCCCATCATCCCCCAAACAGCTAGGAGAACCTGCCCTAAGTTTAGGAACCCAGTCAATGTCTCCATTCTTGGCTTCTTCATTCTTGCACCTCTTGTAGATACGGCTGGAGAGGAAGAGGCGGAGGACCTTCTCGGGACCGGAGATGAAGAGGAGCCTTTGGTGGGTCCTGCGTCTCCGGAGCAGCCCTCCGCCCCCCGGAAGCCCCCTCCCCACGCCGTTCACGGGACCAGGAGGAGGAGGAGGAGCGGCCCCAAGAAGCCCCTCTCCAACAAGCCCCAGGACTTCCAGGTAAAGAGGACGAGGAGGAGGGCACACCTGGGCCCTGCAAAGGATCCTCAGAGTAAGAAGGCACCCATGCCATCTTAGGATTGAAGAGACATAGGTTGGAATCATTGAGCTCTAGGATATTTGCTAATAATAATTTCTGTGATGTGTTGTCAAAGGCTTTCGTTTCCGGAATCACTGGGTTGCGGAGAGTTTTGTGGGCTGTCTGGCCATGTTCCAGAAGCATTCTCTCCTGACGTTTCACCTGCATCTATGGCAGGCATCCTCAGAGGTTGAGAGGTCTGTTGGAAACGAGGCAAGTGTGAATGTTGCCATTGGCCACCTTGATTAGCCTTGAATAGCCTTGTAACTTCAAAGCCTGGCTGCTTCCTGCCTGGGAAATCCTTGGTTGAGAGGTGTTAGCTGGCCCTGATTGTTTCCTGTCTGGAATCCCCCATGGCCAGACAGCCCGGAAAACTCAGCTAGGTAGGCAGTTAGATAGATAGATAGATAGATAGATAGATAGATAGATAGATAGGTAGATTCCATATGCCCTCTTCTCCCAAGCACAATGGGAACTACAAATCCTAGGTTTCCATAGGACAAGTCAATTGCAAACAGTGTCTCTCCAAAGAAGATCAGCCTTCGCTGGAGACACGAATGAAATCCTAGGATTTCTTCCAAGCCATAGATAGACAGACATATAGATAGATAGTAAAGAGATTTATTTATTTATTTATTTATTTATTTATCGTGTCATAACCAGACATTTGTATTACATTTTTAACAAAACAAACAAACAGACAAAACGCAAAGTTTGCCATCTTGGTAGCTGGTTAGATGTCCTTTGACCAGTATCTGTCCCCTTGGAGTGCCTCTGGTGTTGCCGCAAGGAGGTCCTCCCTTGTGCATCATGTGGCAGGGCTCAGGGTGCATTGCAGCAGGTGGTCAGTGGTTTGCTCTTCTCCGGACTCACATGTCGTGGATTCCACTTTGTGGCCCCATTTCTTAAGATTGGCTCTGCATCTCGTGGGGCCAGAGCACAGTCTGTTCAGCGCCTTCCAAGTTTTCTGTGTATCCAGGGGGGAGTCTCTCATTTTGTATCAGCCATTGGTTGAGGTTCTGGGTTTGAGCCTGCCACTTTTGGACTCTCACTTGCTGAGGTGTTCCAGCGAGTGTCTCTGTAGATCTTAGAAAACTATGTCTGGATTCAAGTCATTGGCGTGCTGGCTGAGACCCAAACAGGGGATGAGCTGGAGGTGTCTCTGCCTTGGTCCTTTCACTATTGGCTGCTACTTCCCGGCGGATGTCAGGTGGTGCAATACCGGCTAAGCAGTGCAATTTCTCCAGTGGTGTAGGGCGCAGGCACCCCGTGATAATGCGGCATGTCTCATTCATAGCCACACCCACTGTTTTAGTGTGGTGAGATGTGTTCCACACTGGGCATGCAGACTCAGCAGCAGAGTAGCACAGCGCAAGGGCAGATGTCTCCACTGTGTCTGGTTGTGATCCCCAGGTTGTGCCAGTCAGCTTTCGTATGAGATAGATAGATAGATAGATAGATAGATAAATAGAAGAAAGGAAGTATGCTCCCTCCTCCCTATGACATATTCCCCTCCCATCTTCACCCATGGCCCTCATCATGTCTCCTCCCAGTCTTCTCTTCTTCAGGCTAAACATTCCCAGCTCTTTAAACCGCTCCTCATAGGGCTTGCTCGCCAGACCCTTGATCCTTTGACTCGCTCTTTTCCTCTGGACACATTCCAGCTTAGAGTCAACATCTTCCATCAATTGTGGTGCCCGGAATTGGACACAGTGTGATTCCAGGTGTGGTCTAACCAAGGCAGAATAGAGCATGGGTACCATAACTTCTATTGATCTAGGCACTATGTACTCCTTTTGATGCAGACCAAAATCCCATTGGCTTTTTAAGCCACCGTAAGATACTGTTGGCTCATAAATGATAAATGGATTGAGAGGTAGATAGATAGATAGATAGATAGATAGATAGATAGATAGATAGATAGATAGATAGACAGATAGATAGACAGATATCTAAAAGATAGATAGATAGATAGATGGTAGATGGCAGATAGATAGATAGAGAGAAGATAGATAGATAGATAGATAGATAGATAGATAGATAGATAGATAGATAGATAGATAGATAGATAGATGGTAGATGGCAGATATAGATAGATAGATAGATAGATAGATAGATAGATAGATAGATAGATAGATAGATAGATGGATGTTTTCTATCCTTCTTGCCTGGCTTTGCCCAGAATTAGACACAGGGTTGTTATTCCAGGTGAAGAGGCCTGACCTAAGCAGCAGAAGAGAGTGGGACTGGGGCTTCCTTCCATCCTCCTTTTCCTGCGGGCTTAGATGGTGACCCCGGCTAACCCTCACCCTTTCCTCCTTCCTCTGGGCTTCCAGATCCGGGTGAGGGTCATTCAAGGGCGGCAGCTCCCTGGGGTCAACCTCCGGCCGGTGGTCAAGGTCACGGCAGCTGGACAGACCAAGCGGACAAGGATCAGGAAAGGGAACGGACCAGTTTTTGATGAGGTGAGAAAGACACATGGAAACACAAGGTAAAGCGGGGGCGGCGGAGGGAGGGGGGCATCTTATTAGTGAAACATGGCTGATTTTTTTTCCATGTCAGGAGTGACTTGAGAACCTGCAAGTCGCTTCTGGTGAGAGGGAATTGGCTGTCTGCAAGGACATTGCCCAGGGGAAGCCCGGATGATCTCTCTAGGAAGAGAGTTCCATAGTGGAGGACCTCTGTCTTGTGAGGATTGATCCTCAGCTTATTCATCCTCATCCAGACCGTCACAATGGTCAGGCACTCGTCCAGCACCCGAGGGGCTTCCTTGGAGTTAGGTGGAAAGCAGTAGTAGAGTTGGGTGTCATCTGCATAGATATGGCACCAAACTCCAAAACTCCGGATGACCTCTCCCAGCGGTTTCATGTAACTGTTATTTTTATGAGTTATATTTATCACAAGAGTTAAGAAGGGCTAAGTCATTATGTGGGCTGCTAACACTAATGCTGACACAGAGCTGGGGGGCCACCACCGAGAAGGAAGGCTCTCTCCCTCGTCCCCACCAACCGTGCCTGAGACGGAGGTGGAAGCGAGAGAAGGGCCTCCTGGGATGATCTTAGGGCTCGTGTTGGTTCGTAGAGGATGATGTAACGATAGGCAAGTCCTGAACCATTTAGGGCTTTGTAGGTAATCACCCGCACCTTGAATTGGGACTGGAAACTCATTGGCAGCCAGTGGAGCTGTTGATTGCTCCTTGTAACTTGCTCCAGTTCTGCAGTGTAGGTTGATACACCCTTGGATACCCCTCAAGTCTATCCTTGTATTCCCTGCAGACCTTTTTCTTCAACATCTTCGATTCCCCGATGGAGCTCTTCGATCAGCCCATATTCCTCACGGTAAGTCCAAGCCTGGGAGGAGTCCAAACTGGTTGTTGAGGGTGAGTTGAACATGACGCACCTTTGGTGTCCCTTCTGCCCTTCCAGGTGGTGGACTCCCGCTCGCTCCGGACGGACTCGGTCATCGGGGAATTCCGGGTAAGTTTGCTCCCTTGTTGCCTTTTGGTGGATGGGCCTTTTTGCCTTGTTGTGTTTCTGCTCCATCCTTAGGAAGAGGGGTCCAGAAAGGTTGGCTCAGAGTTCAAGTTGTCTCTGACCTACTGGCCATTGCCCCACTTCGCCCTATGAAGAGAGGCTCAAAGAGCTGGGCATGTTTAGCCCGAAGAAGAGAAGGCTGAGAGGAGACATGATGTATAAATATGTGAGGGGAAGTCATAGGGAGGAGGGAGCAAACTTGTTTTCTGCTTCCCTGGAGACTAGGACGCAATGGAACAATGGCTTCCAACTACAAGAGAGGAGATTCCATCTGAACATGAGGAAGAACTTCCTGACTGTGAGAGCTGTTCAGCAGTGGAACTCTCTGCAATGGAAGGAGTGTGGTGGAGGCTCCTTCTTTGGAGGCTTTGAAACAGAGGCTGGATGGCCATCTGTTGGGAGTGCTTTGTATGTGATTGTCCTGCTTCTTGGCAGAATGGGGTTGGGCTAGATAGCCCACCAGGTCTCTTCCAACTCTAGGATTCTAGGATTCTTCCCAGTATTTTGCAGTGGGACAGTGTCCCTCCAAAAGGATCAGCCTTCACTGGTGTCGTCTCATCATTTCTGCGAACTGAGAGAGAGAGAGAGAGAGAGAGAGAGAGAGATTGAGATTGACTGACTCTCCAGGGGCATGGAGACTCTATCTATCTATCTATCTATCTATCTATCTATCTGTCTGTCTGTCTGTCTGTCTGTCTGTCTGTCTGTCTGTCTCTCCATCTTTTATCTATCCTTCCCTCCCTCCCTCCCTCCCTCCCTCCCTCTATCCATCTATCCATCCATCCATCCGTCTGTCCGTCCATCCGTCCATCCATTCATCTATCCATCCATCCATCTATCCATCCATCTATCCATATATCCATCCATCCACCCATCTATCTGTCTGTCCCTCCCTTTATCGTCCTTCCCTCTATCATCATGTATGTATATATGCATCTATCTGGATAGATACATATATAGATCATCCCTCTCTCTGTCAACCCACCCATCTACCTACCCACCTACACACCCAGCTGTGTGTGCATCCATCCATCCATCCATCCATCCATCCATCCATCCATCCATCCATCCATCCATCCATCCAGCCAGCCAGCCAGCCAGCCATTAGTTCATCCATCTCTGTCCATCTGTCTGTCTGTCGTCCATCCATCCATCTCTCTAATTGTCTTTCTATCAATTAGTTCATCCATCTGTCTATTATCTCCCTGTCTGTCTGTCCATCCATCCATCTATCTATTAGTTCATTCATCTGCCCATTCATCTCTGTTTGTCCATTGGCCCGTCCATCCATCCATCCATCCATCCATCCCTCTAATTCTCTGTCTATCCATCCATTTCTCCATTAGTTCATCCATCAGCCCATTCGTCCATCCATCCATCCATCCATCCATCCATCCATCCATCCACCTATCTATTTCTCTAGTTCTGTGTGTGTCGATCCATCCATCTATCCATTATTTTATCCATCTGCTTATTTGTCCATCCATCCATCCACGGATCCATGCATCCATCCATTTTTCTAATTCTCTATCTCTCTATCTGTCCATCCATCCATCTATCCATTAGTTCATCCATTCGTCGGTCTGTTTACCCACCCACCCATTTCTCCTAATTCCTTAATTCTCTTATCTTTCTATTTGTCCATCCATCCACCTGCCCATTTGTCTGTCTGTCCATCTACCCACGCATCCATCCATTTTTTCTATCTCTTTGTCCATCCATCCATCCATCCATCCATTTCTCTATTTCGCTATCTGACCACCCATCCATTTATTCATTAGTTCATCCATGTACCCATTCATCCGCCTGTCCAGCCAGCCAGCCATCCATCCACCCACCCACCCACCCACCCACCCACCCACCCACCCACCCACCCACGCACCCCTATCTATTCATCCATCCATCCATCCATCCATCCATCCATCCATCTATCTATCTATCTATCTATCTATCTATCTATCTATCCATCCATCCATCCATCTCTCTCTCATCTATCTCTGTCTTTCCATTTGCCATCTATTCGTTCACCTCCATCTCCACCTATCCATTGATCCATCTATTGATCTATTTAGCTGTCTTTCTTTCTTTCATCTGTCCATCCATTTTTCTCTCTCCCCATCATTCTTATCGATCCACCTCTTGCTTTATCATTGTTCTATCTATCTACATGGATCCATCTGTTTTGGGGTCTTATGGAGTGATGTTGAGGTTGGTGCCCAGTGGTCCTCTAAGGGGAGGGTGTTTGGAAGTGGGGGCCACAGCTGAAAAGGCCATATTTCTTTCCAAAGTTCCCCCCAAAAACCTGGAGCATAGACAAGGTCTCATCCTGGAAATGCCCATCCTTGTGTCCGGCGAATGTGGGAAGACAGTGGTGTTGGGGTTCAGCCTGCTCTGTGTGAACCTGAGCCCCAGCCCCAATCTCTGTGTGAACCTGATTCTCTGATTGTATTTCCAACTGAGCAAGCCACTGAACATGTATCTCTCCCTGACAGTGTGGAAACTGTTGTTGATGTTGAGGTCAGTGGCGAGGAAAGTGAAACTGAACAGCCGGATGAAAACGTTTTGGAATCCAGCTGCGATAGCTCTCCACCTGGGTTTTTTTTTAATGAGGACCGAAGAGAACAGATAACGAGAGACAGGAGTGATTCACGGTTTCTACGAAGGTCAAATAGATTACAGGAGAGGCAGGCCCAGGCTTCAAAATCAAGGGGCGTTTCAAGGAATAGTTTCTTTGGTTTAAGGGGCCTCCTTCCGGGTATCTCGTTAGATCAAGCAACGTTTGGGACTGTGGCTGTGCCTTGGTAGAATTCCTGTGTTCCATGGCCGGTAATCCCAGAGGCTTCTAGTTTTCAAGTGCATGGTTAGCGAGAGGCTAACAGGTTCCTAGTTCTTGTATTGTGGTTTTTGGAATTTTGCTCAAGTTCAGAGATTTTCCTGACTGCTGTGTGTCTATGGTGGCTTTTTGACTTTGCATTTACCTTTCTTTTGTAACCAATTTTTCATCAATAAAAAAGGATTGTTTTTCCTACAGTCCAGTGTGGTGGATTTAATCTTATGGTCTCGTTTCCTGATCTGGGATGCAACAAGTGGTGAGAATGCATGATGGGTTTTGCAACCCTCATTCGGGATGTCCTAATGAAATCCTCTTTATCCTTTGCAGCTGGACATTGGGACAATTTACGCCGAACCCAGTGAGTGGAACCTCCATTCCCATTGCTTGCTTTATTATTGTAACAGCTGAGGCTATGTCCGCATTGCAGACGTATAGCATTTTGACACCATTTTCTTTCCCCCTTAGGGCATTGTATCCTCCGAAAATGGCTGTTGCTTTCAGATCCGGAGGACTTTTCGGTCGGAGGGAGGGGCTACTTGAAGGTCAGCTTCCAAGCCCTTGGCCCTGGGGACGAGGTGCCCGTGAGTATCCAGTATTCACATATATATTGAACTGTGAACTGTTTTTGGATTAATCCTTTTTGGATTAAGCTTCAAGTGCTATATGATCTTGATCTGTTGGAACATTAACCTTTGTCTTCAAGAACTTTTTACCTTTTCTTTTTAATAAACTATAAAGACTTCTGGCTGTGTGCAGTCTGGTGTCTTCAGCAAGGTGAGTCTACTCTGAGGTGCAACACCAGCCATGAAAGTCTTTGACAACACAACCTGAAGTTGCCCTTCAAACCCCAAGAAGTCCTAAACTAGAAATCCCAGGCTGCATTCTCACTCTATTTCCTTCTTCCTCATTCTTTCCTTTCTGCCTTTTTTTCCAGTTGGAGAAGAAGGAAGCTGCCGAAGAAAAGGAAGACATCGAAGGCAACCTGCTCAGGGCGACCGGAGTGTCGCTCAGGGGGGCCCATTTCGCCCTGAAGATTTACCGAGCAGAAGACCTGCCCCAGAGTGAGTGGTGCCGGGTTCCAGTCCTCATTGACCCACGGCGTCTATTAGAACCATACATTTGGAAAGGGTCCCCCAAAGGCCATCTAGCCCATCCCTCTTCTGCCATGAAACAGAATCCTAGATTTCCAGAGATGGAAGAGACCTCGTGGGACATCCAGTCCAACCTCCTTCCAAGAAGCAGGACAATCACGTTCAAAGCACCCCCAACAGATGGCCATCCAGCTTCTGTTTAAAAGCCTCCATAGAAGGAGCCTTCACCACACTCTGGGGCAGAGAGTTCCACTGCTGAACAGCTCTCACAGTCAGGAAGTTCTTAGATCCTACAATCCTAGAGATAGAAGAGACCTCGTGGGACATCCAGCCCAACTCCCTTCCGAGAAACAGGACAACCACATTCAAAGCACCCCCAACAGATGGCCATCCAGCCTCTGTTTAAAAGCCTCCATAGAAGGAGCCTCCACCACACTCTGGGGCAGAGAGTTCCACCGCTGAACACCTCTCACAGTCAGGAAGTTCTTAGATCCTAGAATCGGAAGGGACCTCCTGGGCCACCAAGTCCAACCCCCTTCTAAGAAGTAGTACAAGCATGTTCAAAGCACCCCCAACAGATGGCCATCCAGCCTCTCTTTAAAAGCCTCCATAGAAAGAGCCTCCACCACACTCTGGGGCAGAGAGTTCCACTGTTGAACAGCTCTTACAGTCAGGAAGTTCTTCCTAATGTTCAGGTGGAATCTCCTAATAATAACACACACTCTAAGCACACAGTTTGAATAAATGCACTTTGATACCAATTGGAACTGTCATGGCCTCCATGCTATAGAGTCCTAGTTGAGTGAGGCAGGGAAGGCTCACATTGAAAGCGATGACTGCTTTGGTAGAAAGTGAATATCAATCATGGCTTCATAATTTTGGTCTGCCTAGTGTCTAGATCTAGGGAAATCGTGCTCCCCATGCTCTATTCCGCCTTGGTTAGACCACTTTACCTGGAATCACATTGTGTCCAATTCTGGGCACCACAATTCAAGAGAGATATTGACAAGCTGGAATGTGTCCAGAGGAGGGCGACTCAAATGATCAAGGGTCTGGAGAACAAGCCCTGTGAGGAGCGGCTTAAGGAGCTGGGCATGTTTAGCCTGAAGAAGAGAAGGCTGAGAGGAGACAAGATGATAGCCATATATAAATATGTGAGAGGAAGCCACAGGGAGGAGAAGGGAGAAAGCTTGTTTTCTGCTTCCTTGGAGATAGGACGCAAGGGAACAATGGCTTCAAACTACAAGAGAGGAGATTCCATCTGAACATGAGGAAGAACTTCCTGACTGTGAGAGCCGTTCAGCAGTGGAACTCTCTGCCCCGGAGTGTGGTGGAGGCTCCTTCTTTGGAAGCTTTGAAACAGAGGCTGGATGGCCATCTGTCAGGGGTGCTTTGAATGCAATATTCCTGCTTCTTGGCAGAATGGGGTTGGACTGGATGATGGCCCAGGAGGTCTCTTCCAACTCTAGGATTCTAGGATTCTATGAATTGTTCCTGTTGCTTGGAGACCTTGGAAAAGTTGCCTTTTTAGCACTACATCTCCCAGAATTTCCTAACCAAGGGCAGCCAAATGGTTGGTGGAGAGGTTCTAGAACTTCTAGTCCTTCAAAAGGTTGGCGATGAAGCTGTTGGGTGATTCTGGCTGCACGTTGGAGCACGCTTGTCACCGCTTTATTTATGTATTCCTCTCCTTCCAGTGGACGATGCCATGATGGACAGCGTGAAGCAGATCTTCGGCTTTGAGAGCAACAAGAAGAACCTGGTGGATCCTTTTGTGGAAGTTACTTTTGCTGGGAAAACGGTATGTGTGCCAAGGCAGAATTGGGTTTTGGGCTTTGACCAAAGTTGACCCAATTCATTTCTCAAGGTTTTTCTTAGGGTGAGGAATACTCAGAACTGGATAATTTTAGAAAAGCATGACCTTTGAGAGATCATAACCTTTTGGAGAAGACTTTACGTACTTAGGTGATCCCTCATTGTCCAAGTAAGATTGTCCTCCAAGATCAGTGTCCTGTAGGTGGCTGTGGAGCTCGCTTCTTGACCTGCATCTTCTCCCACAGTGAGGGCATTGGTTTCCAGGTGGAAGGTGGTCTCAGTTGGAGTTGGCTTGATGTGCCTTCCTCTTGGCACGTTTCTCTCTTTCGCCCTCCATTCGTGCATCTTCGAATTCTGCAGCACTGCTGGTCACAGCTGACCTCCAGCTAGAGCGCTCAAGGGCCAGGCTTCCCAGTTCTCGGTTGTCTGCCACAGTTTGTAAGGTTGGCTTTGAGCCCATCTTTCAATCTCTTTTCCTGCCCTGCAACATTCATTCTTGAGTTCTTGAGTTCGGAGTAGAGAAACTGCTTTGGGAGACAGTGGTTGGGCATTTGGACAACGTGGCCAGTCCAGCGGAGTTGATGGTGAAGGACCATCGCTTCTGTTAGGGTTCAGCCTGCGTGTGAACCTGAACTTGATTCTCTGATTGCTGAACCTGAAACTACACATTCTGATGAGAATGTTGCAGAGCCAAGCGGTGATAACTCTCCAGAGGAGATAGCACCTGGCTTCCTTAATGAGGATAGAAAAGGACAGATTTGGAAAAACAGGAGTGAATCGCAGAGAAGGTCAAGCAGATTAAGGGAGAAGGAAGCTCAGGCTTCAAAGCCTGGAGGTGTGTCACGAAACAGTTTCTTCAGTTTTAAGTGCCTCTCGCCGGGTTGTCTCGTTAAATCAGGCATCGTTTAGACTGAGGCACTACCTTGGCAGATTTCCCTGTTTCCTGTGGCCTACATTCCAAGAGGCTTCTAGTACTCCCAAGTACGGTTAGTGATTTGCTAACAGGTTCCAGGTTTTTACAGTGTTGCTTTTGGAATTTTGATCTAATTCATGGATATTCCTGACTGCTGAATTTTACTGTGGCTTTTTGACTTTGCATTTTCCTCTATTTTGTAACCATTTTGCATCAATAAAAAGGGATTGTTTTTCCCACAGTCAAGTGTGGTGGGTTGTTATCTTATGGTCTCGTTTCCTGCTCTGGATTGCAACAGCTTCAATGCTGGTGGTCTTTGCTTCTTCCAGGATGCTGACATTTGTCTGCCTGTCTTCCCAAGATATTTGCAGGATTTTTCGGAAGCAGCGCTGATGGAATCATTTCAGCAGTTGCATCTGACGTCTGCAGACAGTCCACGTTTTGCAGGCGTATAGCAGGGTTGGGAGGGGAATACTTGGCATGGTTAGAGTCACTCGGATAACTCGTTGCTCTTAAGAATTTTGTTAAAATTACCTTTTCAAAGCGATATTGGAGCTTTTTTCAAAACCGGAAATCCTTTTGCCCTTCTGAAGATTTTTCCTCCATTTTTGTGTCGACTCAGGAAGTGAGTCAGAAATGTTTCAGCTTTTCCCCGCATCTGGTCCCTGGCCTAGGATCAAGCCAGAGAAGCCAGTTTTAAACCAGAGAAGGAAGGAATTTCCTGGCCTCGAATCAAGCCAGGGAAGCCAGTTTTAAAGCCAGAGAAGGAAGGAATTTTCTCTGTTTGCTTTTCTCTGCTTCTGGTCCCTGGCCTCAGATCAAGCCAGAGAAGCCAGTTTTAAAGCCAGAGAAGGAAGGAATTTCCTGGCTTCGGCTTAAGCCAGAGAAGCCAGTTTTAAACCAGAGAAGGAAGGAATTTCCTCCGCTTGCATTTCCTTACTTCTGGAGTAAAACAACTACTTTCAAAGTAAAGATCACTCAATGAAACAGGAAATAACACTTTCAAACCATTAACGAAAAGATTTGGAAGTCTTGGAAGTTTCGAAAAGTTGTGATTTTTTTTTCTGTGAAAATCGGAATTGACTTTAGAATCGAATCACCAGCGTCCCCTACATCCAAAAAGAGTTTTGAACCATTATTTTTGTGGATCAACCAAGGCTAGGGAAGACCTTTATAAACAAGCACCTTGGTTTCCCTACGGATGTCCCGGTTCTCAAACGCTCTGTGCTTCAAACCTCACAACCTCTAAGGATTCCTGCCATAGTTACAGGAGAAACGTCAGGAGAGAATGCTTCTAGAACATGCCCATACAGCCCGAAAAATCTACAACCCAGTGATTCCAGCCTTAAAAGCCTTAGACAATTCAGCAGGCAAGTGTTTGCAAGTCTGAGATTTGAGCAGTCCCAAAGTCTAAAGAAGTCTGTGCTTGGCTCAGAGTGGGATCACGTGATCTGCAGCCTCTCCAACAACTTGGAAAACATAGAGCAAGGAAAGGAAGCTGCCTATCACAACATACATACAATAAGGCAGGAACAGGATTATGGGTAAGCTAATTACTAGAGGCTTGAAGAAGGTTGTAATTTCCTCAGATCTTGCCATTTCTTTCCTCTGAAATGCCAGGTAATGGAATTTGCATAATGTTCTGTTCCTGGTTTGAAAGTGTTATTATTTCCTGTTTAATTGTGCGGTTTGGTAAGGACCACTTGCGGCACCCATAACGCAAATTGGAACCGGGTGTAGGGGCCCCACGCCAGCAAAGCCTAAATATAGATTGCTCAGGGAGGGGTCAAGGATTTCCCTTGTAGGAGGAAGAAACAGTTTATGAAGAAAGTTGCCTGTCCCTTGTGGACAAGATTTAAGCAAGCCGCCAGTTAATTCAAAGCCTTGAAGTATTTGTGTGATTTATTGAAGATTTAAGCAACGATAAAAACTTTGTTGAACTTTCTAAGTCTTTAAAAGAACTTTGTGTGGGGAAATCCGAAAGGCCTCTCAGCCGAGGCACCCCCGGCGTCCCGTTGGGCATTCAGAAAACACGTCCTGTCTATAGACTCTTTCACAGGCCCAGCGCGTGACAGCACAGCAGTTGAACAAACTTTTCCCGTATTTTCATGATAGGACAGGTGTGTTTTTTGGGGTATCCCAATGAGCCCCCCTCCTTTGACTACCGATTTTACATTTTTTCCCCCTGCAGCTTTGCAGCAAAATCGTGGAGAAGAATGCCAACCCCCAATGGAACCAGAGCATCACTTTGCCAGCCATGGTGAGCCAAGGGGCTTGCCAAGGGATTGGGGAAGGGGCTTCTCATTGCCATTTGGATTGCTGCCATTGAGCTTCCTTTTTGTTACCTTCTCAGTTTCCTTCCATGTGCGAGAAGATGCGGATCCGGGTCATTGACTGGTGAGTCAGCCGTGGAGCAAGACCAGGATTGCATTCGCACCACTCTAAACTGCTATGGAGTCCTGCAAGTTGTAGTTTCACAAGGCCTTTAGCGTACTCTGCTAAAGAGGGCTGGTGCATCATCAAACCCCAACCCTCCAGGATTCCATAGCATTGAGCCACGGTGGTTTAAAGTGGTACCAAACTGCATTAAGTCTGCAGTGGGGATCCACCCCAAGAATGGGAATAGCAACTAGATGTGTACCGATGGTCATTTCAGGGACCGGATGACCCACAACGACATCATTGGCACCAGCCATCTCTGCATGTCCAAGATCTCCGCTTCTGGAGGGGAACTGGAAGGTATGATTGCTTTCGTGGGTTTTAATTAACGCTATGGTTCTTGTACATAGGTTTCAATTTGTCTTATGTTTTTATGTATGTACTAGCTGTCCCCTGCCACGCATTGCTGTGGCCCAGACTGCGTATATGTGTTTTGTGTCTATATATGTGTGTGTATATATTTTTGTATATGTATGTGTTCTGTCGCTCGCTGGGCCTGTAAATAATTGTCTTTAAATAGGACGTGTGACTTGAGCCCAGCAGGAAGCCAGGGGGCCCTGAAAAGAAATTCTCAGAGATTTTCCACCACAAATTATCTTTAGATGGCCTGTGAAGTATAACAAGGTCCTTTATTAATGAACAATCAAACAGAAACTTTTCTTGTCTTCAGTAAAGTTAAACAACTGATTCCAGGCTTTTATGCAACTAGTGGCTTCCTAATCTTGCCCACGAAGGACAGGCAACTGTCTTCAATAACTTCTTCTTTACTTTAAATGGAAAATCCCCTTTTTAACTTCTCCCAGGCTGACTGTAATCTTATCCTTACTGATGTGGGCTCCGCTACCGGGTCGAACTGCGTCTCGATCACCGAGTGGACCTACCAGTAAGGCCAGTAGACTCTCTAGCTGGAATTCTTTTGTCTTCCAAACTGTTCACCCTCCAAATTTCCTCTAAGCTTTTGGACTGCTTCCCTGGAAATCTTTGGATGCTCTTAAGACTGTTTCCCCCTGGAAAGTCTTAAGGGTTGAAGCTTTTGTACAGGAGAAGCTTGTACACATCCTCTATATTAGCTTTCCTTACTGAGACTAACCAAAAAATGGCTCCTTTCCCAATTGCCCTGAGCAAGGGGCGGAACCAAAACTCAATGATGATGGACAGGTGACTTGCCCTACAACTGCAACCAAAGGCAGCCACCTTTCTGCAGAACCCTGAAGCCTTGGACTGCAAGCAAATATTTAATACAAAGCAAATAAAGTTGGAGCTTCTGGTACAGCTGTATCAGCACAGTGTGTGTGTGTATATATATATATATATATATATATACAGTTTTGTGCATGTGTTGTAATGTATTTTTTGGCTTTTAAAGTATTTTATGTTGTGTTTTTTAGTGTTTTTATGAGTGATGGTTATTCGTTGGACTGTTAGGTGTCTTGTGTCCAAATTTGGTGTCAATTTGTCCAGTGGTTTTTGAGTTACGTTGATCCCACAAACGAACATGACATTTGCATGGAGTATTGAAGCTTATACGGCCTGTTAGGACTTTATCGTTGGCCAAGAGTTGGAGGCTTAGATGATGCAAATGTGACAAAAGAGATGTAGGTTGGCTGACAAATGACAAAGAACCCTCAACCTCACCATCTAGAGAAGATGTGGGCCAACTTTGGCCTTCCCTCCAGGTGTTTTGGACTTCCACTTCCACAATCAAACAAGTCATGCCAGACTCATCTGATCTCTTCTTTCGATAGAGTTACAAGCTGGGTAGATGCGGGGAATGCCGTGGGTGGAGCGTGCCTGAATTTCAGGAAGGCCTTCTTCGAAAAGGTCCCCCATGACCTTCTGGCAAGGAAACTAGTCCAATGTGGGCGAGGCAAAACTACGGTGAGGTGGATCTGGAATTGGTTAAATGGACGAACCCAGAGGGTGATTCTCCCCAAGGCTTCCTCTTCATCCTGGAAAGAAGCAACAAGTGGAGGGCCATCAGGAGGGTTCCGTCCTGGGCCCGGTCCTGCTCAGGATCTTTATTAATGACTTAGATGAAGGGTTAGAAGGCAGGATCATCAAGTTTGCAGACGACACCAAATTGGGAGGGAGAGCCAAGACTCCAGAGGACAGGAGCAGGATTCAAAACAATCTTGGCAGATTAGAGAGATGAAGGGCCAAAACTAACAAAATGAAGTCCAACAGGGACAAATGCAAGATGCTCCACTTTGGCAGGAAAAACGAAATGCAAAGATACAAAATGGGGGACAATGCCTGGCTTGAGAGCAGGACGTGTGGAAAAGATCTTGGAGTCCTCGTGGACAACATGAGCCAACGATGTGATGTGGCGGCAAAAAAAGCCAATGGGATTTTGGCCTGCATCAAGAGGAGCATAGTGTCTAGATCTAGGCAAGTCATGCTACCCCTCTATTCTGTTTTGGTTAGACCACATCTGGAATATTGTGTCCAATTCTGGGCACCACAATTCAGGAGAAATATTGACAAGCTGGAATGTGTCCAGAGGAGGGCGACTAAAATGATAAAAGGTCTGGAGAACAAGCCCTATGAGGAGCGACTTAAGGAGCTGGGCATGTTTAGCCTGAAGAAGAGAAGGCTGAGAGGAGATATGATGAGGGCCATGTATAAATATGTGAGAGGAAGCCACAGGGAGGAGGAGGGAGCAAGCTTGTTTTCTGCTTCCTTGGAGACTAGGACACGAAACAACTGCAAGAGAGGAGATTCCATCTGAACATGAGGAAGAACTTCCTGACTGTGAGACCCGTTCAGCAATGGAACTCTCTGCCCTGGAGGGAGTGTGGTGGAGGCTCCTTCTTTGGAAGCTTTGAAACAGAGGCTGGATGGCCATCTGTCAGGGGTGATTTGAATGCAATATTCCTGCTTCTTGGCAGAAGGGAGTTGGACTGGATGGCCCAGGAGGTCTCTTCCAACTCTTTGATTCTAGGATTCTATGAATCGGGAGTTGATTTAGGAATGGTGGGAGTTGAAGTCCAAAACACCTGGAGAGAGGGCCGAAGTTGGCCCATGCCTGTTCTAAAGAGATAGAGGAAAGGGCGGTCCCTAATTGTGTGTCCTTTCCCCCATGGTGTCCTCCATCTTCCTCTCTGAGTTGGTCCTGAGTTCCAGTCTCAGCTCCTCTCCTTTCTGGCCAGGACAAAGAAACACCCTGACCTTCTGCTTTCTCTCCCTTCCTTTGTGCCTCAGAGGACTTCCCAGCTCCTGCAAAGCCCTTCCGGGCGACGGACAGTAGGTTCCTGCAGAAAATAGCTTTGTCTTTCATGTGCTTGGGTTGCCTCTCCCCACTCTCACCCATCTTCCCTTTACTGCATGCTCAGAATCCAGATCCGCATGAGATTGAAGCTAAACAAGGTTTCCCGTGCCAAGTGTGTGCACTGCTGCTGCCCCAACTATGCATTGCATGCCATTGGAATTGAGATCGGCAAGTGATTGGAACCTAAGGATCAATTTTAAGAGTGTGCCTACACACTGTAGAAATCCAAATTTCCTTTTCCTATTGCCGCTGGTCTCTAATCGAACGCCTGGCCCCAGAGCCAAGTCTTCAGTTTTCTAAAGGATTGTAATTGATTCCAACAATGCTTCATCTGACTATATTTCCCATACTTGGAACTTTTCTCCCCTCATTAAGCTATTCCACGCACTGAGAAATTGGTTTCATTTTACTTGAGATCCTCTTATCTTTTTCTGTCGAAGTCTGGCAGAACGCTGAAGGCACTGTTCGGCCTGTCTGTTTTGACTAATTTCCTCTCGCCTATCTATTTGCTCATTAAGTCTCGCAGCTGGGCCAGAGACTACTCAGGAATCCCCAAAGGCCACCCAGTCCTACCCCATAAGAGATAGACAGGCAGACGGACGGACGGACAGACGGATGGATGGACAGACAGGTGGATGGATGGACAGATGGATGGATAGAAAGGTAGATGAATGGGTGGAAGGATGTATAGATAGATAGATAGATAGATAGATAGATAGATAGATAGATAGTATTCCGGAAAAAAGTGAAAACCTGGTTATTTGAACAGGCGTTTGAATAGACAGTGCAATGAGTGAAATAAACATAGGAATGGAACAATGGATGACGAATCTGGATCATGTTTTAGTTATGAGACGCCAGTGAATGGTTACTGCTGTTAATTGTTTAATGTGTTTATGATGTTAATTGTTTTTATATACCGTGTTGTTGTAGCATTGAATTTTTGCTGTTGTTAACCGCTGTGAGTTGCCTAAGGGCTGAGAACAGCGGTATACAACTAAAGTAAATAAATAAATAAATAGACGGATTGATAGGTAGATGGATGGATTATTTATTTATTTACTTATTTATTTACTTTGCTTCTATACCGCTGTATCTCAAGCCCGAAGGCGACTCACAGCGG